CCCCAAAACCCCAAAACCCCAAAACCCCATTGATAAGTGATGACATCAATTATTTGAATTGGACTTCCTGGCTGTAAATTTTAAAATTAAATCTCGAGTTAATAATATTCACAAATGAACCCCTCGACAAGTACTTCAGACCTAGCAACTGTCCAAGAGGAGAAGCCACGTCATAAGTATGCTCACCCCAAAGGAGGCATGAATCTTTTTGACGAGGGCAACATTATCCCTGCGGCATTCAAGGAATACGTAGCAAAGATCGCTAACAAGATTGTAAAGGCCTAGTTTTCAGATCTTTTAAAAATCTCATCACCCTCATTCATCCACAGCCCTATCACTTACGTTTAGGGTGCAGCCATGGATGTTCTATTATGCTAAAAATTTTTAACACCTGCAGCTGAAACTGACAATCCATTCGAGAGATTGAAGTTAATTATATGCATGTATATAGGTGGCTCTCATGTCAATCCTGCTTTTTGCTAATGCAGAGCGCCATTAAATCCCATCTTAGGAGAGACTGTTCAAAGAGTGCTTCCCGATGGAACTAGATTCTATGGTGAATAAACATCTCATCACCCGCCTATCACTAACTTTTTGCTTGAAGGTCCAGACAATTTATACAGATTCTCCGGATTCTTTGAGTATAAAGCTTGGTTGGCAGGTGTTAGTTCAATCGGTGGCTCAAGAGTAGGAAAATAAATTATTTCATTTAGAGATGGTGGTTTAATTTCCATTAAGGATCCCTAGATTGAAATTTCTGGCTTAACATACGGTGACAGAGTTCACAATATTTTAGGCCAAATGACCATTACTGATCACATTAATAAATTAGAAGCTATAGTAACCTACAACCCTCCAAAAGCTGAGGGTGGTGGTGTTATGAAATCATTAAGGAACAAATTATTCAAATCCAAAGATTCTAAGGAGCAACTTAGTGATTACTTCACAATTCAAATATGTTAAAAAGCATAAACCACAAGTAAGCAGGTTAAGGATAAAGTAGTAGTATCCGAAGGCTCTGGTTCTTGGCTTGAGTATATTGAGTTTGACGGTAAGGTATACTGGACTATTAACGATGAAGTACCTAACTGGGAGCAACCAGATTCTGACAATCTGAGACAAGAGTAAAGGGAGATTCTGTTACCGTCAGATAGCTCAAATAGACCAGATTTACAATCTATGCTGAAGAAAGATTTCATATCTGCTGAACCTAAGAAAACAGAGTTAGAGGAATTGTAGAGAAAGGACAAGCATCTTAGGACATAAGCAGAAAAACTCCGCAAAAAATAATGAAAAGCTTTGAAAATGCTAAATATTTCCTCTATATATTGAGGACATAGGTTTTTGCTGCACAAACACACACTTACTTGATAGATATTTAATTTATCTTATATTTTACCAAAATTTTGGAATAGATCCACATGTTTTTAAAACTATCCTCATGGGGTTTTGGGGTTTTGGGGTTTTGGGG